CAGCTTTTGTCTTCTCCAGATGTTAACTGATGGACTGGAGTGCTGTGGATTACTTGTGGATTATTGTGATGTTTTTATCAGCTGTTTGGACTCTCATTCTGACGGCACCCATTCACTGCAGAGCATCCATTGCTGAGACACTGATGCGATGCTGCATTTCTACAAACCTGATGAAGATTTAATCTCGGATGGTCTGAGGGGGAGCACATTTTCAGCAGATTTTCATTTGTCTAAACCAGTGTTTCCCAACCTTTTTTTTAAGTCGCGGCACCCTTTGGAAATTTTAACAAATTTGTGGCACCCTACAAAATTAATTTTGTCACAATACTTGAATTTCTAACTTCGATGTGATAATTTGAAAAGTATAGATATTCGGTACAACAGGGACGGCAGAATATACTGTAATACAGATATTTTTAATATTATAACAATTTTTGTCCATCAATGGTGGCAATCAGTAGGCTAATTTCTAATGAAGAGACCACTTTATATGACAGATTTTAATGTAGGCTTTTATTCATATGTAAACATTGTTTAATTACCATTATAACTAGCTATCTCACAAATTTGTGATTACCCCACTGATTTTACAGTGGGGTAATATCGTTGCAGTAGCACGAGATAGAATTGAATAAAAAATGACAAGTAAGCAGTCAGTAATAAAATAAGAACAAATTAAATCAGTAATGATAGCACAAATAATAATAACGATTTAAATGAAATAAATTCCTATTTAGTTTTTCAGGTAGGTCTAACAGTAGGCCTATTAAGAGATTTAGTTTTTTTTTTACCAATTATATCCAAATAATGTTTAGTCCTACAAAGCTATTATTATCAGAACACGTGAGCATAACATAGCGGTTAGCAGTCAGTGTTTTCAGTCTAATAGTGCTCAGACAGATTTAACTCACCTGTTTCTGTAAGAGCTGCACTTGGGCTTCCTGTCGGTTCACGGTTTCTCTGAGCTGTAAAATAAAACACAACTTCATTACATTCAAATATGTCAGGCTAACTATCATACTCCTTGATTTTCACATATTGTGTCAAAAAAAAAAAAGTGTCAAAATGTAACAATACATTTTCATTTTGATTCTCTCTTATGGAAAAATAGTAATTCTATGGGATATAACTTTTTTTTTTACAAATTAATTCACTTACATTTTTGAACCAACTTTCACATTCATAAATGCTAGCTTTTTAATACAAACATTGTAGTTTTGTTGACTGAAGTAAGGCTATACATAGACAGTATTAAAGATGCTTTGAATAAGAAATCTATACATTTTAAACATTTGTGACCTCAACAAAGTATTTATTTGATATTTTTATACCCAGTTGTACCCTTATTCTGCTTTTTATATTATTAACCCTCCTGGCACTTTTTATTTATTTTTGTGTCCATTCAAATATGTTTGAGTCCGATTCTGATCCCAAATATATTCTACAAAGTCCTCAAATATTCAAGCAGGAATATTAAATGGAATGAAGTTCTGAAAGAAACTTCTGGAGGACGCTTTGAGCTCTGAAATGTGCAGCCTGTATTTACAGCACACTTTAGCCTCGTTCAGACTGTCAGCCCAAATCTGATTGAAACCCGATCGTATTTAAATAGTCTGAATGGCAACGAACTACATGAAATCCGTTTCGAGCTACATTCATATGTGGTTTGGATTCAAATCGCATTCCTGGAAATCCGTTTCAGTCCTAGCGTTTTCACGCCACGCAAAACGTCAGACGTTTTTGTAGAAAACATAATGAACGTCTTTGCAGAAACAAGCTTGTGTTGTAGCAAGTCAAGCGGAAAAAGACAACTCTTTGAGTTTTAAAATCAAGCGGAGACGGCAGCACAGAATAAAGACGCTCATTCCAGCGTTTCTTCCGCTGCCTCATAAGACGAAATACATAATAATAATAATCCAGCGTGATGGCAAGACAACATCTGTATTGCTGTTATTGTTGTTTTTAACG